ATGATGAGTATAGGCAAACCGGTCGAGGCTATTACCAAAAAGATCAACTACCACCTGAGAGGAAGATGGATTTTGAGACAATGCTTAATATGTTTATAGAAGCCTCTGAAAAAAGGCATGATGCTACTAATTCTACCATGAGAAATCATCAAGCCTATCACACTCCAGAACTGAGAATGACGGAATCATCCGGGGGTGGATGACTTCATTGTACAATATCATAACAATTAAATATAAATGATCAAAGCCATACAACCATCATATTGATAATTTACAAGTTTATGTTGTACACAAAACATTGTTTGTTTCATATCAAATATTGATAGAAAAAATAAATGACGTGATGTGGCGACGCCCCATCCTCCAAAAAATCTCTTTGATTACCTTTTTAATGATTCTCTGAGAATACAAGTGATTTTCAAAAGTGTTAACAGTTAAGTTGATGATTTCACAAGCATTTTGTATGAGAAATTGGTAGCTTTTTCCTTTTAAAATGATAGAGTGTACTTTCAGAAAATCCAATTTTTTTCTTTTGAAATTTACACCTCTTCTCCAGTTTCTTCAGACGATTAGTTTGATTTTCAACAACAGAACTTCCAAAAGATGATCCAATTGGTTGAACATTCGCTGGAGGATTAACATTTTCAGAGATACACGACCACAATTCTTCATCAAGACCATTCAGATAATCCTGCATACGATCAGTCCACTGATTATAATATTCAGGAATTAGCATTGGAATTTTGATCGATGATCCTAACAGATGAGAAAACGAGGTCATCGAATAGAGATTGAAGCTCACCATTTTTGTACGGAAGAAATTTTTTAATGAGAATTGAAAATTTGATAACAGCTAACTGAATCACTCAGAAATGAAAAGAAGAAGACTCGATTCAACAATTCTGATGCAGAATCGAATCACAACCTCAAATCTAAGAGAATTTTTCACTTTCAAAAAGTTCGGAAACTTTTGAACCAATAAATTGATTCAGCTTTTTGAATAACGTGAAAATCAGATCAAGAAATATGATTCCTGCTCTGATACCAATTGTAAACCTTACACTAAAAATTACATACAATGGTGTAAATTAATGACAATTTTCTCACTTTAACCCTACACTAAAACAACATGTCAAAAACATACAAATAATATTTTAATAAAAAAATGAAGATTTAACTTTATTATATTACCATTAGATTGATAAAATATAAGAATAATGGTAATCAACTTCAATGTATTTCTTTAATATATATATTATATGTATTTGACCAAAGTTATAATACAATTATTCATATACATATCCATCGTCTGTTTAGTTATTTGTTTTCTATATCTTCTTAGTGTACAATACCTTCCAAACATAAACTAATCCACATGTCATTTAATTTTTATTTCACGTGTCATTTAGTAGAGTAGATGTTATAAAAAAAAAATCCGATATCATATTTAATACAAAGACAAATAAAATAGCTGATAATATTTCCCATTTGTCATTTTTCATGTGATTGATGTTTATTACTCAAATAACATGGTTTTATATTACACTAGATATTAGATTTATGTATTACATGACTTTATTTAAAAGAAAAAACTAAATATAAAATTCTAAACATTTGAAACGTTTGAATTTATAAGAAAAATATTGAATTATAAAAATTAAAGTGTTTTTTTTCTCAAATTTAAACAAATAATTTAGATAAATAAATAAAGGAAATTAATGAACCTTTAATTTAGTAATTTTGAAATTAAAAGGAAAGTTCATTAAGAAAATTAATATAAAATTATTATTTATTTAAATACTATATGAAATTTAATAAAATAGAAAAACCATAAAATGACGTGTATAATAAAAACTAATTCAGAATAACAATAAAATGATATTTGGCAAATTGAACCAGAGTATGAAAAGTAGCAAAAAAAAAACTTTCATTTATTAGAATAGATTCAAATAACACGAATGGTAGTTACATTTATTGGGCCTGCTCCGGGCTGTAAGAAAGGATACCAATGAATGAGAAATATTTTTTATTGTATATTTATTTAGTAGGCGAATGCTCACGCGTTGCACAGAAACACCTATACAGCTGAAGTCTTTACAAATATATGATTTTTTAAATATAACAATAACATTGTTGTTAAATTTTATATAATAATTTGTATATACTAAATTGATATAATATATTGATTATTTTGAATTATATGATAATATGTACATTTATTATAACTTCATAATCTCAATCGTTTGAATGTATATTACCCGCAAGTTACACATGAATAAAATTAAACATAATATATGATTTGATGTTATATATAGTTGTTTTTATTGTTAATTAATTTTTTAAAATTTATTTGCTTAATGTTTTAATTTCTATTATTATAATTATTTAAAAAATCAAACATTGTTTTTTTTATTTTAAAACTAACAATATAATCATTTATATAGAGTTGTTTTTAACTATTGTTATTGTAAGTTATTTTAAGCTGCTTATTTGAAAACTTTTAACGATTATAAAAATATATTTAAAAAATATTTTAGTTAAATTGAAATTACAATTTAGTTTTTGCTTTTATCACTATAATTTATCACTTTTAACTATTTACAAAATATTCTTTAGTATTTTTAAATGGAACTGGAATTTATATTTTAGTGCATATTGTAATGCGTAGAAACACCTATATAGTTGAAGTTTTTACAAATATATATTTTTTAAAATATAACACTAACGTTGTTGTTAAATTTGATATAATAATTCGTATATTAATTTGATATAATATATTAATTATTTTGAATTATATGATAATATATAAATCTATTATAACGTCATAATCTCAATCATTTGAATGACTTCTACTCGCGAGTTACACATCAGTAAAATTAAATATTATATATGGTTTAATATTATTTATAGTTGTTATTTTTAACTAATTTTTTAAATTTTATTTGCTTAATGTTTTAATTTCTATCATTATAATTATTTAAAACATCAAACATTATTTTTTTGATTTTAAAGGTAACAATATAATTATTTATATAGAGTTATTTTTAAGTATTGTTATTATAAGTTATTTTAAGTTACTTATTTGAAATTTTTTAACGATTATATAAATATATTTAGAAAATATTTTAGTTAAACTGATATTATAATTTAGTTTTTGCATTTATGACTATAATTTATCACTTTTAACTATTTACAAAATATTATTCGGTTTTTTAGTGGAGCTGAAATTTATATTTAAGTTGTCAGTGTAATGTTATATTTAAATTAACAATTAAAGTATTTTATCAAAACTGTTCAAAAATTGTAGCTTTAAACTGATAATGGTTTACATGCAACAACATTTAAATCTAATAAATTAAGTACAATATGTTAAAATTTAAAGAAATAACTTTATAAATAGAAGTAAAGATATTATTTTAAAATTGAAAGTTAGACTATTTGTGATTACACTTTAGGTTTGATATTTATTTAACCTTATTAACCAACTTACAATCATTATTAGAAAGACACTACAATTTATCACTTTTAACTATTTATAAAATAATCTTTGGGTTGTTTAAGTTAAATAAAATTTATATTTAAGTTGAGCCTATAATGTTATATTTTAATTAATAATTGAAGTATTCTATATAAATTATTCAAAAATTATACCTTTAAAATGATAATGGTTTACATCCAACAATATATTAAAACTAATAAACTAAGCATAATATGTTAAAGGTTACAAAACATAATTTTATAAGTAGAATTAAATATATTATTTTAATATTGAAATTTAATTTATATATGAGTACACTTTAGATTTGATATTTATTTAACCTAATTATCAAATTATAATTATTATTATAAGGAAATTGAAAAGTCATAAGAGTTTCAAATGAATGTGGTGAAAGGAAAAAAGAATGAGGGTTTTAAATACATAAGATTCAAGAAAAAATGTTAACTTTATAAGTATATATGATATGTTGTAATTTGCCTAAAATGATTCAACTTTATAAACCGTAATATTTTCATGATTGATCATTTTGCAAAGCCTAATAATCAATGACAACCGATGAGCAAATCCTCTAATTGAAAAATAGCAAATTACAGGAAATAGCAATATTTTCTTTTCTTTTTCTTTTTTATTGATATAGACAATATACTATATTGTTATTTTTTATGTATAATACCAATACACATACATACCGACAATAGCAATATATCAAATATAGTCTATAGCTCTTTTTATGTATAGTAGCAATACATGTACATACTAATAATAGCAATATGTAACCTTCAATGCTAACGTACTTGTAATTTTTTTTACTCATAAGAATATACTACTAGTACGTACTTACTTTTTTAACTCATAACAATCTACTACTGAATACTAATAATACCTTACTTGCGAAAGCAACATATTTATATTTTTTTGCCTACAATAGCAATATCTGACTTATAAAATACAATATATATACACAGTAACGAAGTATAATTAAATTGCTATTATAGGTAAAGAAGATATAGCACATTCTCCAAAACGAATGTGCTCAGCTACTTGGAAAAACAATATATCAATAAATACTTAAATAGTATTCATTTCATATTTTTTGTATATAATAAGTTGTTATCAATATGGAATACAATCAATTTATTCTAGCATGTTATCTAACTTCACTTTGTAATGCATATCATAAGAAGTGACTAAAGTAATGACCATAATTACATGAACATTTTGCAATAAAGTTAAAGATATGCATAAAAACAGTCTAGTTATTCATATGATTAAAATCTTCTTATAGATGCCCTTGTATAAACTCAAAACAAGCAATTTGATTCTCATGTTTCAATAATTGTACTATGAGCTTGGGAATTTGTACATCAAACTCTTAAATTTGCACAACAAAGAGTTTGCATTTCTTATACTAGTGAATTCGATCATTTTTGGGTAAAAAAGACATATCATTAAATTGTGCCACATGACAAGTAATATTGTACTTTGAGCATATTTAATTAAACACCAACAAAAATAACATAGTAATAAACGAGTCACTTTCCATTACCAACATAAAAAAACATGAATTTACAACCTACTACCTCAACAATAAAAGCCATTACAAATAAGGACATTTAGTCAACTACTACCACTACAGTACTACTAGCGGGTGGTTAAAGTCCACCACTGCCCTCCCCTTGCTTTAATTTTAGAAAAAATAGAGGTACCCTTAGCCCTCGGGTACCATATTAAAAACCAAAATGACCAAATTGACCTTTTCTAAAATAAGCCCCTATGAGTCATAAATTGTAGCAGTAACTAAATAATAATTTATATGCCGCTACCGTATTAGGTATGGAGGGTAGATATGTCTTTTCAGTGAAACTGGGCACCACTGAAGGTCTGACCGAAGGACCAACGGGCAGGGGCAACATTGTAAGACACGACAGTTCGACCATCACTTGTGGTGACCTTAAAGGATAAAGACTGCCCGTTTAGGTAAGAGTTGGATTGCCAATTTTGCCCCCAGTTCCGAGACATTTGCTGCCACCCTGTCCTTGACCCTTTGACCGCCACCGCATGAACGTCACCGGCGCCACCCACGTTTGTAATCAACACCAGATTGAAGTACGAGTGCCCATTTATCTGAAACCTAATTCCACCCCTTCTCCGACATGGTACCCTACAAAACACATCCCAAATGTTTAGCAAAGGTATTTACCATATTACCCATAAGGGTATTTTGGTAATTTTGACAAAAGCAAAACTACAAATGCGAAACTTAAAGGTTATTACATTAACGCAAACTGAAATTTACCAAAGTATCATATGAGGGTGTTTAAGTTAATAACATATTAACAAAAAGTGAAAAGACCAAAATACCCCTGAGGGAAATATGTGGTTGCAGTACCTTCTGTAAGCAACAGGGACGATTCCGGCTTTGAATTGGGCAATGTGTTGAAAGACAGGCTGAGAAAGGTCGAAGTGGTGGTTTGGAGGGTTGCACCACCCGCCGTTGTTGTTAGGTAAGGCGTTGTTCGGTGGGCAGAAGTTGGTGGCGGTGACGACAATGGTCGCCGGCAAACACCATTTAGCGTCGTTTACGCATTTAATCGCAAAGCAAGAGCCACAGCTTAAACCATTGTTGAACATAGCTGTACTTAGCGCTGCTGTGTTTGTACCATACCCTTGACTGTATAAATTCCCATATCCACAAGCTCCACCTGCTCACAATTCAGTCGATAAATTTAATCAAAGAGCTCAAACGGAAAGTAGTCGGAAAGAAATTGGATAAGGAAGGATGAAACTAGAAAGTACCCATTGTTCCAGATGCATCGCCGCCGCCGTAGAAGGTTGCATGGGCGTTTCTCCAACCAGCTCCGCCGCCGCGGCCGCCTCTGCCGTGAACAGGGGAGAGGATTGCGAGAAAACCCAGAAAGAAAATAGCTAAAATTGCCATGGATTTTGAATTGAAATGGTGATGAAGAGAATTTGGGAGTGGTGGCAGAGGATATAAATAGGAGAATTTACTGTATTGGCGCACAGTGATGTATGAACGTCGCAACTAATTCACGCAGGCTAAAGCTGTTGTTGGGGACCAATTCATATTTAAAATTTTGGACCATAATTTGGGTGGATTAATTTTCTGCTTCGGAAAAATAATCAGAATGATTTTAATTTATATAAATATATCTTTAATATATATTAACTATATTATTTAATTACGGCAGATTGATGTGCCAATTAGGCAATTAATAATATTCACAATATGGTTAAAATTTGATATTAAAAATGGATAATGACTTGAAAGGGTAACGAACTTTTGATTTTTTTCACATTTAGTTACTAAACTTTTTTTCGTTATCTATTTGTCATTGAACTATTGAAACTGTTCACATTTTACCCTTATGACCGGCTGTTACCGGTCATAAGGGTAAAATGTGAACAGTTTCAATAGTTTAGTGACAAATAGATAACGAAAAAAAGTTTAGTGACTAAATATGAGCAAAATCGAAAAATCGTTTCTCTCTTAAAAGTTCAATGACAAAATGTGAACAAACTTCCTATTGTATTATGTTGTAGCAAATTATTTATTTTTGTTAAATTGTAGCAACATTTGTTGATGAGTAATCTATGAAATAAATTTAAAAAAAAACAAAAACAAAAACAAAACCCTGAAAATATATTAAAAAAAAAAACAAAAAACCGAAACTAAAATAAAAAACCAATGGTTTGACATTTTCCAAAATAAAAAATCAAAATTTCCAATCTGATTTTGGTTTTACAAAAAAATGAACCATTTTCACTGATGTGAATTATGACCATTGGTTTGGCATGCAAAATTTGTGACATCCCATGAATACGTAATTACAACATCGTCTGAACTCGTAATTCATAGTAAGTGGTTAGAGTATTATCGCATGAATGCGTAGTTAAAACATCGTCTGAACTCGTAATTCATAACCTACAGGTTATGGGTCTGCTGGTGTTTCCACTGGAGTGTCTAGAATATTCTGTGGTCGCCATCTATACTCTGGTAGATGACTACATCGGCATATTGCCGGTTAAGGTTATGGTATCTCCTTTCATCCTACATCACATATTCATCATCATCTATTTACCTGATTATCATCACCTTTCTATCATCACCTATCTCTCATCATTTTATTTCATCACACACCAACTATTTCATCTACCTATGTTTCATCCGCAACATATTTGTAGATATAAAATAAATATACCGTTTAAATCTTTTAAAACATGTATAAAATCGTTCATCCAGCATAGACAACAAGTATTCAAATAATATGCATACATAGCACGTAATTTATATAAAATATTTCATATCTATGTGTAAGATGAAAGTAACTATATATACCATAAAAATCCCATAAATGCTTCCTAACTTTAAACCCCAAGGTTTACTCTACTAAAGCTTTATATTCTCGGCTCTCTAGACCTAGAAGGGTCCAGATCTATAACACAAACTTGCAAGAGGGGTTTGAGGCATTCAAAACACCAAAGATGAAGTGATTCAAGCCCTAACCCCAAAATGGAATCTACACAATAGGGAAGGATAAGGGTTCATTTTTGTACCTCAGAATGAAGCTCCTTGCTTGAATAACTCAGAACAATAACCTTCATTGGTCCCTCTTGCTGGAACTCTTCTCATTTCTTGCAAAATCACATCCAAAAGCTCAAGATAGCTCTTCCTCTCACTCTACACACTCAAGCTCGCTAGGGTTCTTACTTATGGGAAAGGTAGTCGCAATTGAAGGCCATAAGTTCCTTTAAATATGGCTCGGGCCCAAAGATTTAGGGTTTCTGCCAACAACGCGGACTCGTCGAGTCGCCTCATCGACTCGTCGAGTCCATTCATTAATCCGAGTCATCAGTCATGACCTTACTCGACGAGTTGAGGCGTCAACTCGTCGAGTCTATCTTCTTAACTCAAAAGAAAAATACTTAAATTATGATACCTGGAAATCCGGATGTTACATTTTGTTTTTTTTATTTCATAGATTTCTTCATCAACAAATGTTGCTACAATTAAACAAAAATAAATAATTTGCTAAAACATAATACAATAGGAAGTTTGTTCACATTTAGCCATTGAACTTTTTAGAGGGAAACGAACTTTTGATTTTGTTCACATTTAGTCACTAAACTTTTTTTCGTTATCTATTTGCCACTAAACTATTGAAATTGTTCACATTTTACCCTTATAACCGGTAACAGCCGGTCATAAGGGTAAAATGCAAACAGTTTCAATAGTTTAATGGCAAATAGATAACGAAAAAAAGTTTAGTGATTAAATGTGAACAAAATCGAAAGTTCGTTACCCTTTTCAAGTCATTATCCTTATTAAAAAATATCGGTTAAATTGGTTAAGAAAATTGTCATATGGATTTCTATATATATTTATATTAAATTATAAAAAAAATAACCTCCAAATTTTTATATATTATTTTAATATATCTATTTTGTAATTTACATATGTTATTAAATAAGAAAATTATCATATTAACAATATATTTTTTGAATTAAAAATATAATATACTTAAAATATCAATATAAATATTTTGTTAAATCCGAAAAATAAATCAAAATATCAAATAAACTTAAAATACGTAAATATTGTTTTTTAAAATAGTTTAAAACATTGAAATATTTTAAATATAAAATAAATCGACATGTGCAATTACTTAAAATGTCAAAAACTATTTTTTTTGTAATAATTGAAAATTTTCCAATTAAATAGTTTTTAAATTAATTAACAATAGTTAAAAATAGCACAATCTTATAAATAACACTATGTTAACTTACAAAAAATATCAAAAAGGTAATTTCTAAATTAATTCATCATAATGTTAAAATTAATATTAAATCGAGAATTATATATAATTTTATTCACACATCAGTTACGAGTACCGATTATTAAATAATATGATTTTAATAAATTTTATAATATGATTCAAAATCACTAAAAGTTTATATAACAAATTAGTGTAAGAAACTAATATTTCATAATTAGGAACAATAACATATTTATTTTCGTAATGTACATGTCAAATTTTAACTATATAATTTTATTTTGCACAACACACATATATTCACCTAATTATTAAGTAAAATAGGAAATGTTTTAGAGTAAATTATAGTCTTGGTTCATGTGGTTGTCCAGTTTTAACACCTTTGATCTTTCTATTGGGTAACAATCAAGTTTTTTTCTCAGTTAAGCTTCGTTAAACTTTTCTAACTGTTTTTTTATTGAAACGGCAAATAATATAAATATCTCATGTGTTAAACATTTCTAACTAATAGGTAAAAAGTTGAATTTTCCCCTAATCTTGAAGCATTATACCAACATGAACCTTAGAATGGAAAAACAACATCCCACTCTCAACATGAATCTCCAATGATTTGTTCCTTAACTACTACCATCAATTTCGCTTAACTCCCCTCTTACTATTCCAAGCTAGAAAATCTTCATCTATTCTTCAATTTTGGGTATATGTTAAACTAAAACATGTCCTATTTGTGAGATGAAATTAATTTACATTTAGGGTTAGTGAGATGGTTTTGTGGTTAAAAACTTACAGTGTAGAAGGAATGTAAAATGCATTTTTGTAGGAACCGGTATCACCTTGAATCATGTCGTTTATGAGTGGACAAAGAATTGGAATATCAAAAAGTGAAGCAGGATTTGAGGAATCGTACTACCTATTAGATGTTATTTCCTTTTTAGGCTTAGCAAACTATATCATTCAATATCGATCTCTTTTAAACGATGATCGTTTCAGTCTACTTAGGGAGATTGTCAATGTAGGGTAAATGAGATCGGCTCCTCTGGAGATACGTGTTAATTATTTATCTGTGGCAGATGTCATGGATACAAACAATAGAGATGGGTGATGGACTAGAAAGGTTGTACAGATTGTAGGGCCAAAATACTTAGTATGCTTTCATTGTATGCTGAAAGAGATATTGTTCCCACTTGAACTGTTGAGGGTCCACTAAAAATAAGACAATAAAGTACGGGTTTATACATTATGGTTGTTTGTGTCATCATGGACTTAATACGGGATAATGAATATGCCCGTAGTTTGTGTAATCATTGGTTGTGTCATCATGGACTTAGTTTGTATAATCCTTGTTTGTTTTCTTACCCAGTGTATTAGTGCGATAAATGCTATAAAATAGTGTCTTTTAGTTGGTAGTATTGAAATTTGCATTGAATTTTTAGTGTTTTCATTGTATATAATATGGTTGTGTGTTTGCAAGAATTGAAATCACCCTGAATCATGACGTTTGAGAGAGGAGATAGAGTTGAAGTATAAAAAAAAGAACATGGATTCAAAGAATCTTACTATGTTTGCAAAGGTCATTGCTCTTTTAAGAAAATGAGGGCATGTATTTCAATATCCAAAGCTTCTAAAGGCTTTAACCTTATGGTCTATTAAGAGAGATTCTAAAAAAAGACCAAACCAGGATGATACCTCCTCAAATAATGATGAATCACTTTTATGTGGGAGATATCGTGGACGTAAACTAAAAGGATGGGTGGCGGACCGACATGATTGTAAATATAGTTTGGCCATAGTATATAGTGTATTTCTAGTTTCCAACAAAAAAATGTTGTTCCAACTTGAAAAATTGAGGGTGCACCATGAACAGGACAATAATGTTTAGATTTATGCTTTAAAATAGTCATATTGTCCTTGTGTTTTTAGCTAGTATGCTTTTGAACCCGGTAGATTGGTGCTATTATTGTTTTAAAATAGTGTGTTTTAGATGTTGCTTTTACTATTGTGTTTTATATGTTTTCATTGTATGTAATTGGGCTTTGTAAATTAGTTATTGTAGCAGTGGTATAGTGGTGGATGTTGTGTTTCCTTTGACTCTAGAGTAACCCACTAATTCGCGCTCATTTTCTCAAAACTAAGGTGAGTTTTTCTTTCTGATTGAAATGTCATTTGGAGGGAACTTGGGGTGAACGCTGTTAGAATTTCAAAAATACTTATTGGAAAAGAAATGGAGGGTATATGAGTTTAATTCGTTGGGATAATCAATAGCATTTTGATATTAACTAAAGTGTTTTTTTTTCTCATAATTGTTTCCACATTGCAGGTTTCTAACATGAAAATG